CATTACGAAATGATGTCCTTCTTCGGCTTCGGCCGCCCATCGCGCGAGGAACGCGAGCGCGAGCCTCTACTGCCGCGTTACAACGACGACACAGCCTTGCAGCAGCGCCTGCACGAGAAACTACACACGTACCAGATGCTTCGTGCCATCGGGAAGGGTTACATGCCATCCAATGAACAGCTTATTGTCAACCTGCGCAGTCTACTGTCTGCTGACGTCCTCAACCCTGATACCCCCGACCTCAGCGACTCTGGGCGAGCCCTGGTTCTCAACGTCAAGCTTTTAATCAAGCAACTTATCGAGCTACTATTACACAAGAACGACAAGGACCAGATCCAAGATTTCATCTGGTATCTCACCAAGGCTCGTCTGTCAGTTGACGCGTACGACATCGGTGCACGAGCATCCAAGGCAAAGGCCAGAGCCGACACTGTAGCAGGTGGGTCGTCTCTATTTTATTAATACCAGCAACCCCACGTCGGCTCCTACCAAGGAAAGAAAGTTTGTTCAGAGTTTAAACTGACAATTGCCAAGCGTACAAAAGCTTACAAACGGTGGGTTCCTTGATATTAACCAACTCGGATTTTCGCCTGCTACTTTCGGATCTGAGCACTATTGGTCGAGAGGTCTTCCGCGATACTGCGTTCACCCTGTCGGACGTCTCGAAGCAAGCGGCCAAGGATATCGAGCCCTCAAAAGAGGAAGAAGAAGCCGTCAAGCATCCCAACGGGGACTCGAAGCCTCCCCCGACTAAGGGCGATTTGGAAGATGAGGTCGTCGACATCGCAAAGGTTGTCACTGACGGCGTCGCCCGTGTCGCTGACGAAGCGGGCCAGAGCCTGACGGACCATGTCACCGGCGAGGAACAAGAGACCTTGGTACACAGGCTCAAGAGCACCATTGTCAATTTGCGAGAGAGAAAAGACTACTCCGACTCGGTATCGACTCTCTCATTACTCATCCGGCGATATTTGTTGGCCTATTCGCACGCAGTTTCCGATACCATCCAGGTCGCTCGAGAAGACATCGACACCAATCCAGAGGCTGATCGTGCACTCCACAATTTCTGGCTGTTCTTGACGTCTTTGGGTAACCGTGAGCACTGGAATGATGTTGAGGTCCAGTTCAAGGCGGTCATGGAACATGGCCACAGCGATCCAGAATTTGACAATCTTGTCAGACAGATCGGCAATCTGCTCCAGGACATACTGACGGACCCTGACTTCTTCGATCACGCCGAGGACCGCTTCAAGGAACTGAGAGCCAAGTCGAGACAGTTGACATCCGAGTCCTCAATACGCGATGATCTTGATGCGTTGCTGGAGAAGGTCTATCTTGCTCTGAATTCTGTGCTTCAGGACACAGATATTAAGAAGGCCATGAACACCACCAGAAGAATCTTGCGAATTCTGTCGCCTGCACATCAGTACACCAACGGCGAATTGGTGGCAGACTCCATCAACGTCTTCATACCCATGGTAGTGCAGGCAATCCAGTACATCCCGATTCCTCGGGTGGAAGTATCGGCGCCGGCTATCGATCTCCTTTTAGAGAACCTTATCTTGGAGCCCGGGCGCACCGTCAACAACAGCTCCTTCTTACCATTCAAGATCAATATCTCCACACAGAATGATGTCGAGATCCGCAAGGCACGCTTCCGCACCACGTCTTCGGTGAAGACTCTCATGAGGATCACGGTATCAGGCCTGTCGATTGCAGCCGAAGACCTCGGATATTGGCTGCGCCTCCACTCGGGAATATTGAGGTTGGCAGACGCTGGCATTGCGGGCTTTTACCTGGATGAGCGTGGTATCGATGTTGCTATTGATGTGGAGGTTGGAAAGGAGCGGCTTGAGGACATATTGACGCTGCACAATGTCCGTGTTCGCATCCACCATCTCAATTACAGCCTCCGAAAGAGCAAGTTTTCCTGGCTCGCTTGGCTACTCAAGCCTCTGATTCGGCCAACAGTCAAGGCCGCATTGGAAGCCCAGATTGCGGCCAGCATTGGCGAACTGCTTCATTTCGCCAACAGAGAACTCCTCTTTGCACGCGAACGATTGAGGGCCACTCGTATTGCCGACCCGCAGGATATGTGGACATTCCTCAAAGCTGTGGCGGCCAGGCTGGTGCCCCCCGAGGACCCCGATCTGTACACCCGTGTGGGTGTCGCGCAGCCTGGACGGGGAGTCTTCAAGGGTGTATATGCCCCTGGTAGTCTCGTCAAAATGTGGAACGAAGAGGCTGCGCTGGCAGGCGACAGAGTGCACGAGTATCAACAAGACGGGTGGCGCAATTCCATCTTTGATGTCGGAACAACAGGCACAACGCTTTAATGTTGCACCGAGTGCTGCGCGCGCGGGTAAAATGGCGCAGTCGCTGTTACGCCAAGGGGAGCACAACGATTGAGGCAGCCAAGGATGAGAGCAAAACAAGACCAGGCACGGTATGGACTCGAAACTGCTTTTTTTTTTTTTTTTTTTTTTTTTTGGCTCCATTTCAATGTATTTCTAGAGGCAATAACACATGCAGGGAGTAACAGGACCTACCTAGGCGAAAATGGCAAGTAGTATGAATCCAAGGTTACCTTACGAAAACGATCATTTGCATATGGGCTTGGGTACACTACTGAAGAATCATTCGGGTGGTGGGTTGGACTACGGATGGCACTGTAACCATCTAACGCGCTGCACACTGCACGCCACGCAGATCACAGCAACATTCGGCGCAAAAGTTCCTCCTTGCTCACATAACCGCCCTCCCTGAACAAGTTGATAGGGGTGCAGCGACATTGACACGCCATCCGAATCGAGGAGGTGCACACTATCACGATATCGATGCCAAGAGTGCATGATGGACCTGTAAAGTGCAATCATTGCAGTCGCTCTCTTTTTGCTTCCGAAATCCAAGGCGACGTGGCACGGTGGCATTTCAAACAAAGTTCGATTCATCAGCTGCCGTATCTAGTAGAGTTTGCTGCCCAGCATCACTACGAATATGGTCCCCGACTATCAGTAATCAACGAGTCAACAACGATCGATAAGCCCGAGGCGCGTGGAATCCACGGACTCGAGTAGAGTAGTTGGATCGAGTCACCCGAGCGTACGGAGTCTACCGATTACCTTATAGTGCGTATGATGACCATGCAGCGCGGTACCCGGCGCGTGACATTTGCTGCGGTTCTCTCCCGAAAGTTACGTACGGGCCACCCGAAACCTACGTGTGCTTGAAGTCGGGACGTCGCTTTTGCAGGAATGCGGTCATTCCTTCATTGAAATCGCCAAGGCTGAAAGTCGAGTAGTAAAGAGATTTCTCCATGGTCATCCCGGCATCAAGATGGCTATTCTCGACTGTAGCAGGGTTAGCGAGTCAGAACACGGGGTCCGCACAGGGGCCCGCCCCCTCGATCCCTTGGTGGGATCCGGAGCCACCCCGTAGTAGCGGTTTTGGAGCCGGAGCAGCCCACCTGTGAGAACGGCTTGCTTCGCAGTTTTGGTCACGGGGCCCGACATGACGGCGATGCGCTCAGCGAGCTTCATGGCGGCTGGTACGACCTCTTGACGTGGGAACACCTTGTTGACCACGCCGAGACGCTCAAACTCGGCACCGCTGGCTGAGTCGCCGGTAAGGACGAACTCCATGGCCTATAGCTGGTCAGTTCACCGGTTTCAAGGTGAGAGCGAAGATTTCGGCTGTTCAAGTCGGCCAGCACGAGTCAATCGGCTGGGTTTGGCTACTCACCTTGTGCTTGCCCAGCGCACGAGCTAGACGCTGAGTGCCGCCCGCGCCTGGAATCGTTCCGATCTTGATTTCTGGGAGTCCGAACGAAGCATCTTCGGCGGCGTAGATCATGTCGCACTGATCGTGAAGGGTCAGCCGTTTGGGTTCTACCTCGCAGAAACATGTGGGGGGGGGGGGCAACTCTTGACTTACTGCTAAAGCGATCTCGCAACCACCGCCCAACTTGAGGCTCTCACGTTAGCCTTGTTTCTGTGAGACATGCGAGGCAACAGAGAAAAGAAAGAAAAGCACAGATGTTGGGAGGCGGCTCCCACTTCCGACACCACAACTTACTGCGAAACCAACTACAGCCGCGATGACGGGCTTGGAGAAGTTGGCAAAGGCGTCTGTTAGGTCCTTGAGAAAGGCGCGCTGGTGGGCCGCTGCCGTGGAGATCTGCACCAGCTCATTGAGATCCATCCCGGCTGCACCACAAAACGGATTAGCCAACGTCGCGCCTCCATTAGATTAGATTAGAGGGGGGCCTGCCAGTGGAACCCTGGTGCGGATTTTCATGACGTTTCAGGGACTTGGAAACAAGAACGACAGCGGACATCCCCCTGTGTATCAAGTCCGTGGGGAATCAGATGGAGTTGAGATGGCAGTTGCTTGGTCGGGAAATCCTCGACTGCCGTGCGCGGCGCCAACGATGATGAGTGTGCAGATTGCACGTGGAAAGGTAAAGGAAAAGGGAAGTGAAGCCGAGAAAGACGAGTTGAGGCCAGAGGATCCGACGACGGGGGTAAGCTTGTTGCACCCCCCTCAAGACATGGTTCTCTGGAGCCCGACTCTGAAATCTGTCTCGACTGGTATGAGAAGAATTGCAAAACGTACCACAGAAGGGACCTTCAGGGCCACCAGTAACGACGACAGCGCGGATAGTCTCCAGGGCATCGAGGTGAGCCAGTGTCGAAACAAGTTCGCCGATCATGACCTGAGAGAAGGCATTTCTCTTGGCTGGACGGTCAAATCGGACCAGGGCGACGCCCTTCTCGGAGTCGACCGTCAACTTGAGTGTGGTGAGGTTCTCCATGATTCTCGGGAGCCGGAGGAGTTGCCGTATGGATAGAGCCACAAGAAGAAGAAAAAGAGTTTGGGACTAGCGGATCACCGGAGTGCGACGATTGATTAAAAAAACGTGGAAGCTTGGAGGTAAACTGAGGTGACTAAGGCGAGAGAGGGGGCAGTGTTGTTGTTGATGGCTTGTTGAAGCAGCGTGCTCAGCACATGGCAGAGAGACAAAGAAGTCGAAGTCGTCGGATCTTTTCTTCTCCCGGGTCTTGCTTTCTTTCTTCCTGGGACCCTTTTCTTCTTCGCCAGCAACAACATCGCCGCACTTTATTAGAGAATTCCACCCGGCTGTGACCGAATTCGGCCGAGGCGGGTGTCGACCTTGAGTAGCGTCGCATCTTGTCTGGGGGGTAGGCTCGCAGAAGAAGAACAAAACTGGCCTGAGGGTCGTTCAAGGGAGAGGGGTGGGCGGCCAAACGGTCGACAGGCATCATGAGCCGCGGAAGCCAGGGTTGCCCCCGGGAACGATGTGCAGACAGGGCACCATCCATGGCAGAAGCAAGGCATAACCCGCACAGGCGCCTAGCTTCCCTTCTTCCCTCCTCCTCCTCCACGATCGCGGCACGTAATGGATGGCACATGTCGACTGATTGACAACAACTTTGTCAGCCCCCCTGGTCATTATCCATCTCCAAGACGTCCGTCCTCCACTGCCGTGCCCCTTGTTACATCCCACGGCAACGCCTCGCGAGGGCCGCGAAGTGCTCCATCGACGAGACAGAGGACGACAGCTGCCGCATTGGGCGGATGTGGTCCGGATCGCTCTCCGTTTTTCCCGGATTTGGACAACTCATCCGGCGTGGCCCCGCCGAACCGCCAGCGGTCCTGTTACCGCGGAATGGAGACATTCGTTACGACGAAATTTCTGCCCACATCTAAAGGGGTGGAGGCGGACTCTCGACTGCTCCAGACGCTCCCTTGGCGGCCGTGCCTGTCACGACGAAATATAGTCTCCCTCTACTCTTAGTATCTATTGCGCTTGCATCCATGGTCGAGGATCCGCTTCTCCGTACAGAGACCGCATTCGTTCATCGAGGGATCCTGATCACATCCATAGTCTTGCAAGGTTCCTTGTAAGTGACCTCGTCTCTACCTACACTAGTTCATCACAGAGTCGTCCGTTCTCCACACTATCTAAAACAATTGTCTGCATAGCAAGGAGCTGAAAGAAGGAAAGAGTCCAGCCCTGATATCATCCATGGACCATGCCATGGCTAACGGGGGTGCTTCTGAGAATATGGAACCTTGTTTGAACACGGAGGTTGAGGCAATCTAGGCAGGTTTTTGGCGAAGTGACCAAAACGAAGAATGCACTCCCCCACAAGGCCGGGCAGGGTCTGGCGCTTCTCCGTTTCTCTAGGACATTGGCGCACAAACACACAGACGCGACTGTCCCGTGGAGGAGATATATCTGGTTCCAAGTGCCCACCTCTCGAGATGTGGCTAGGAGATGTGTTACTGGTAGGCAACATTATCGCAGGGCATCAACATCCAGAAGCTCATCACCATGGCTCCCTCGCGCTCGTTCCACTCTCTGGAACACCTGTCCCTGGCGGACAGAGTTCTCTTCAACCAATTCAGCAGAGGACCGAGCGATGTGATACCATACCAAGTCGTTCACCACGCCTTCGAGTCCATCGCGGCAGCACATCCTGACGCCACGGCTGTCCGACACTACGATGGCACGACTATCACATACCGGGAGCTCAACCGCAGGGCCAATGTGCTCGCCAATGAGCTGAGGGGAACATACGGCCTCAGGAAAGGAGACCGTGTAGTGCTCGTCTACTCCCGATGCATCGAAATGGTCGTCTTCATCTTTGCCGTCCTCAAGGCCGGTGGCCAGTATGTCCCTCTAGATGGTGGCATCATCCCCGAAGACACACTCGGCTACGACATTGTCGACTCCAACGCGCCGGTTGTGCTGTGCCTTCCCAAGTTCAGGGAGAAGGTGCTGCGCAGCGTGCCCTCTGAAAGGCGGGACCGTGTGAGGGTCGTTGACCTCGATGCGAACAGTTGGCTGTGGACGCACGGCAACAATGGGCACCCCGGTGTCATTGTCAAGCCTGAAGATGGAGCCTATGTGATCTACACCTCGGGCACTACCGGGCGACCCAAGGGAGTGGATGTGAGACACGAGGGCGTTACCAACACCCTTCTAGCGGAGCCTTCCAAGCTGGGCATCCGTGTCGGGAAGAATGTAGCGCAACAGTTGAACATCGGTTTCGATATGTGTAAGTCAAATGTCTCAAACTCTATTTCTTTAGTGGCCGACCACGCTGACGCGGCAATGGGTACTTAGGCGCGTGGGAGATTCTCGGCACCATGATGAACGGCGGAACGCTTCACATCAGAGGCAGCGGCAATGATCTCTGGACGGATTGCCTGCAGCGCGTCGACACTGTCATCGCGACGCCTTCCGTAGTCCTCAAGCACATGCCCAGGCGCGAGGACTTCCCCAACATCAGAACGATCGCTGTCGGTGGTGAGCCCTGTCCACTGGCGCTCGCTGAGCAGTGGGCGCCCTACGTCAAGTTCTGGAACGTATGCGGTCCTACCGAAATCAGCATTCTCAACACCGCGCATCTTCATAAGCCGGGAAAGACTTTGTCGATTGGCAAGCCTAATCCGAACACCAACGTTTACGTTCTCGACGAAGATGAGAACCCTGTCAAGATTGGCGAACCTGGTATCATGTGGGCCGGCGGTCCAGGCGTTTCTAGGGGGTATCTTAACTTGCCGGAGTTGACGGCACAAAGATATAAGGTCGACAAGTTCGCAAAGGATGGGTTAGTTTTGCGCCTCTTTTTGTTCCCCGTTCTTCCGGCCGAGACTTGACAGAGAGAAAAGTACGCTAACGAATACCACTCACAGTCGTATGATGTTCAACACTGGCGACCTCGCTCGCTGGCTTGAAGACGGTAGCTTGGAGCCCCTCGGCCGCAAAGACGACCAGGTCAAGATTTCTGGCTTCCGCGTCGAACTCGATGGCGTCTCTCGCGCTATTGAAAAATGCCCTGGCGTCGTCAAGGGATGTGCGCTGAAAATCGACGATCGTCTGTGGGGCTTCTACTCTGCCCCTGCGCCGATCGACGAAGCTCAGCTGAAGACTGTCGTCGGCGAGGGCCAACCGTTCTACGCCGTCCCGACCGTCTGGAAGTACCTCACCGCAATCGAGCTAACCCCCAACGGCAAGGTCGACAAGCGGGCCCTCCGCGACATCGCCGCTGGTGGTGCGGACCAGACTCCGCCGCCGCTGCCTCTGGCAGATATCCCGACGGGCATGTCTACGCCCCAGCAATCGTCGAGCGCCTCGTCTATCAAGACGGCCGTCAGCCCTACCAGCGAAGGCGGCTTCACGCTCGTGGACTCTCGCACCTTCACCGTCGTCGATTCCCAGCAAAAGAACATTGACTTGGAGAAGACGGCCGCATTCGTCGAGGAAGCGGCCGAGAAGGAGGAAGAAGAGTACGAACTTCCTTCGAAAAAGGGCTTTCACGGCTGGAGATGGATCCGCCACCGCGGACTCAACGCCTACCGCAAGCTCTTTGGTGTCATCTTCCTCTCCAACTTCGCCGTCTTCGTATGGATGCTGTACGAGAGCCGCAATAGCAACTTCTCCCTGCCCCTGAACCACCTGGCCACCGCCGTCGCCGCCAACCTCCTCGGCGCCGTTCTCCTGCGCCAGGAATACGTCGTCAACTTCATCTTCTGGGCGTGCTCCCGCGTGCCCACCTCCATGCCACTTTCCATCCGCAGACACTTTGCGCGTGTCTACCACAATGGCGGCGTCCACTCGGGCTGCGCCGTCTCTGCCACCGTGTGGTGGGTCATCTTTACGGGCGCCGCAACCGGCAACTTCATCGCGCCTCAGTCCCTTTACTCCGTCAACCTCATCACCCTCGTTCTAACCTATCTCATCCTCATCCTCCTTGTCCTGATCCTCGTCATGGCTTACCCCTCCATCCGCGCCAAGATGCACGACCAGTTCGAGTGGACGCACCGCTTCGCCGGCTGGTCGGCCCTCGCCCTCGTATGGGCCCACGTCATCGCTACCGCGGCCTCCATGTCCGCTGAGCCCCTCGGCCCGGCCCTGGCCAAGACACCCGCGCTCTACCTCGTGGCCCTCACATCCTTCAGCATCGCGCTGCCCTGGATGCGCCTCCGCCGCGTAAAGGTCGTCCCGGAGCCGCTCTCCAAGCACGCCGTCCGTCTGCACTTTGACTTCTGCACACCCGGGCCATGCACCTCGCGTGGCGTCCGCATCACCGACAGGCCCATGGTCGAGTGGCACGCCTTCGCCGCCATCCCGGAGCCGAGCGGAAAGGGCTTCTCCATCGTCGTTTCCAAGGCTGGCGACTGGACCAAGCGCATCATTGAGAACCCGCCCACCTCGATCTGGACCCGCGGCACCCCGGCGTCGGGCGTCCTCGCCGTCGCCCCGCTCTTCAAAAAGATGGTCCTCGTCGCGACGGGTTCTGGTATTGGTCCCTGTCTTCCCGTTCTTATGGAGCGTCGGGTTCCCGCGCGCGTCGTCTGGTCGACCAAGAACCCGCTCAAGACGTATGGGCAGGGCGTCATGGATCTGATTCTCAAGGCGGATCCGGACGCGTTGATTTGGGATACGGATGAGCGCGGTAGGCCTGATTTGGTGCAGTTGGCGTATAATGTGTATAAGGAGAGCGGGGCTGAGTGCGTTGCGATTATCTCCAACGGGCCTACTGTGAATAAGTTTGTATATCGGATGGAGGCGAGAGGGATTCCCGCGTTTGGACCTATTTGGGATTCATGAGCGTTGTTTTGTATCCCTTTCCTTTCCTTACTGTTAAGTTGTTTCTTGGGCGGTATTCTTCTTTTGTCACAAGTTTTACCATACCAGAGTCGTTTCATTGTTCCCGTATAAATTAGCATCTAGTCTAGATCGTCTTCCGTATCCTGGACGAGTTGTAGACTGCCAAATACCAATTTGAATCCATATTAATTATCGTCTGTATCTCGTCTTGCTCGTGTTCAGTCCTTTCAGGACATCCAAGGTCATTTACCCCTTATGTGACCGCTCGAGAGATCGACGTGATTTCTCCAGACTAGAAAATAGCAATGCTTGTGGACCCTTCTACCCATGTTGACTGGCACGTGTAAGATCGGGCGGAGGCCGGTGTTCAGAATCACGGAGCGGAGTCAAGCGGGATATCCACAATTTCCGTCCTACGATGCACATCACATAAGGTCCGGCTCCGGCCGAAGCCGAAGACTTTCGTGTATTCCCATAAGTCTTTACGCAGATGGTGATCCTGGGAGCCTGGCACCAATTCTGACATGTTATCGGCTACCTGAGACTAGGTGCTCGCAAGTGCCTCCACAAATAGAATGTTGCCGTGATAATAAGGACGACAGTAGCTTGACTGCTAGTCGACCTTTATGCAGTCTTGCGCGCTTCGGGATCACTCGTACAATGTCACCTCATAATTTTCTGGAGCGGCTCTCTCCTATACATGCTGAAAAGACAAACTTTGAGAATAGAACACAATTTTCGTGCCCAAATAAGTCGACTCGATGTACCGGGCTTTGTACCGGGCTTTCT